TGTTTGTCAATTTTTAGAAAAATAAATATACTTTAAATAAATATGATTACTTTATATTACAAGCAAGCTATACCCATAGTTTGCGCCTAAAACGTATTAGAGTTCTCCTAATGTTATCGCTTTAGTTATTCACTCTCAAACAGGCCCCCTCCATCAGTGCGCGTTAATGCAACTGTCCACCACCTCATGCCTTACGATTTTTCCTGTTCCCAAGTATTTTTTCTAGTCAAAACTAAGTTTGGATTCGTTCATACCAGACACTAGACAATAACATATAAAAACATCAGTTGATTTGAAAATGTCGACTAGCCATCCTTTGGTCGATCTTATCTGAAATCACCCTACTATGTTTTTTTAATGATTTTGTGAGTTTGTTTGTTTGGGAAAGAGAAGAATCTGTCGAGGAGTCATTTTCTTCGACGCTGCTCGGGTTTGCTTGATTTCGCAGAAATCATGTTGTGTCTACTTAGTGCATACTGTCGACATTACGGTACGTACCGGGGTAGAAACTTGAGCGCAGAGTGCACTGCGGCATACATGCGCGCACACCTCCCCCCTCTGTGATGTATGCATCTCTGCACGTAGGCCATCACGCGTGCCATTTGTATTGTTTAAACACGGAAGTGAGATCCCTCGCGCGTCTAAAAAGTGAGCAGCTCGAGAGGGCTTTGGAGATTCTGCTTCAGGACACATACCAAAAAGATAAATAAAAGGGCAAAAAAATTATTGAAAAAAACAAAGCAACAATAAGCTTCTATATCGGCGTCTTCGTGAGGCTCACCAATATCTTAGGGTGTTGCATACACATCTAGTCTTCCCGGAGGATGTCCTCCTTGTGGTTGGCAAGTGCCGCTCAGTAGGCCAAACAGGCGCTGTGGGGGAGCGAGCCACTCCTTTCAGGATTGGGGTTGGAGAGGGGCAGGTTTGGAGAGAGGGCGGAACAAGTTTGGGAGATTATTAATAATAACAAAAATCTTTATTTCTGTTTAAAGAAATGGTGGAGCAAAAGGGAAAAAGCTTCTACAAGAAGCTTGACTGGCCCTCAGCCCCATTTTGCCCCCAGCCCTTCTTTGGAACGTGAACCAAAAAGGGTTGGGCCTCTATCTTTTGGTTTTTGCTTAACTAATTGTTTTTCAGTAGGTATTAAACAACATGAAAATAAACAAATGAGTCGGTTTCAAGAATAATAAATAAAACTTGAAGACACAGGCAAACAATCACGTTAGGGTTGTAACGAGTCGTGCGTTGCGGTATACACTAACTATTTATTTACATTATTTGCACGCTGAATCTACGGACTGTCGAAGTATGACATGGCTGCCCTGCTAATAACCCGAGGAGAAACTTTCGAGCCCGTTTGGCGTTTTCTTCTTCCTCCGCTGCTGGGTCTTATATGTGATCGCTGCAATATTTCCCCATCAAGTTTGTAGGACGTGTGTGGAAAAAAGAAATGCGCCTTGCGTCGCGGAGAGTTCCTGTCAAAGCGAGTCATAGCAGTTGTGGACAGTTGTGTGGACTCCATGTGAGCAGGCCTGAGTTTGCCGATCGATATGGTTTGTTGCTTGCCGTTGATCAACACTTCAAAATATTTTGGAGTCCTCTTCGTGATTATGCACCGCTCATGATAATGTGGTTGAAGGCTGCGGCGAACAGTATGGTCGCTTACGAAAAAGTAGCTTGTCTTTGTAAGATCCTTACTAATGAAAACTGGCCGCGGCGATCGCCGCCGCGGGGATGTTGGTAGCCGTTTTGACTTGGTGCCTTTGAGCCGATGAGCATAGTTGGTGGGGTTCGGAGAAACCGCTGGGTCCGTAGGGGTGAAAAAGCATTGCGGAAGACGCAGGAATTATGTTTCCCAGCTCCAAAGGAGCGCATAACGGTTCTTCCTTGAATGCTGCTCGTACGCCCAGAAGTACTACTAGGAGTGATTCTGTCCAATGAGTGATATCTGGACGCGACATAAGCGAATATTTTAGCTGGCAATTAAATTATTTATCAAGACCGCTATCCTTTGGATGGTAAGTCGTTAGTCTTAGTCGACTGGTGCCAACAAGAAAGGTGAATTCGCTGAAAAATGCAGACTCAAACTGCCTACCGCGGTCGGTGGTGAGAGTGGCCGGCATGCCAAACCGTGAAATCTAGATTAGCATAAATCTCTGAGCGCCTGCTTGAGTTGTAATGCTGCTAATGGGGAGGACCTTTGTCCATCTGGTGAGGCGGTCAATGGCGGTTCGTATATATTTGTTGCCTTGTGTTTCTAGGAGTAGGACGACTATGTCTAGGTGGACATGCTCAAAACGGGTACCCAGAAAAGAAAAAAAAAAACATCTGGTGCAGTGTGCGTGTGCCCGTGACCTTTGCACGTTGGCAAGAAAAGCAGCTGCGAGCCCAGTTACGAACGACAATGTTTATGAGTTCAAACGTAACGCACGGTTATTAGCTTCTGTGATGCACGGATACTGAGATATGTCAGCGCATGGAAGGAGTCAAAGTCTTATCGTCCTAAGGCGATTGGTACGAAGGGTCGAGGGGCACCAGCTGACATATCGCACACCAAGAGGTGGGATAGTCCAGGTAGTGTGATCTCTCGAAGAACTAATGCACCTGGTGTATTGGTGAACCTGGTCAGTTCTGCGTCATTCTGTTGGTGTGCCAAAAGAGTAGCAGGAGTAAGGTTTGGGTTATCTGATATTTGGGCGATAACGGCTCGAGACAAGGTGTCGGCATCAATGTTATCAGTCCCCTTTACGTGCCGAATGTCTGTGATGAACACAGAAAGAAATGACATTTGTCGCAGTTCCAGGGCAGATTGACTGTTTGGCTCGTGAGATTGTATGGCATCTGCCAAGCGCTTGTGATCCGTAAAGATGTGAAATCATCGATCTTACAGAAAATATAGAAAGTGACGGATAGCAGAGTAAACAGCCAGGAGCTCACGACCGAAAGGGCTGTATCGTCGTTCCGTATTGATTAACTTGCGAGAGAAGAAAAACTACGGTTGCCATGCATCCTTGTAAAACTGGTGGATGCCAGTGTCCGAGGCGTCGGTGACAAGACATATCGGTACTCCTGTTTTTGGATGATGAAGCAAGGTAGCACGTGCAATGTGTTTTTTTATGCTGCCGAACGCTTCATTTGCCGCATCTGTCCAGTTTAAAAGCGCACTTTTTCCGGTTGGTAATACATCTTGAAGAGGCTGGAGAAGCTTCGTGCATCCAGGAACAAAGTGGCAATAGCAATTCACAAGCTCGAGGAAGCAACGTAGGTCACGAGCTGTTTGGGCTGGGAAGACTCTTTAATAGACTTTAATTTTTAAAAGAGTGGACAGATGCCGCGACGATATATTTGGTGGACTAGGAAGGAAACGCAGGACGCTCCTAAGTGGAACTTTTTCGGGTTAATCCTTAAGCCCTGCTCATCTAATTTCCGAAAGAGACATTGTAAGGGGTCTTGGTGTTCTTGCTCGGTGCAACTTGCGACGAGAATGACGTCTATGTATGCATATATCAAAGGCATTCCTCTTAGGACTTGGTCGAGAAATTGTTGAAATGTCTGCGCAGCACGCCTCAGGCCAAAAGGCATTCGAAGAAGTTTGAAGATTCCAAACGGTGTTGTTATTGCTGTCTTGGGAATGTCCTCGGGAGCCATGAAAATTTTATGGTAAACACGAACTAGGTCGATGGTGGAAAACATTACTGCTCGTTCGAGAATCGCTGTTGCACCACGCATATGGTGCAAGGACACCAGACACCTGATGTGGATTATGGCACCATGTGGAGCGGTGATGCCCAAGGGCTTGAGGAGGAACGCATGAAGCGCAGCTCGGGCTTCGACTCGCTCCAGAAAAGGGAGGTTTCCGGGGATTGAAATCTATCTCATCTGACGGCTTCAAGGGGGTGTATGAGGAAGGGACATAGAAAGTCGCCCCTCACCTGCACCAGAACCGTAGCAGATGAAAACAGAAAAGTAAAACCGAAAATATAAGTTTAATCGACGAACTTGTTAAAAAAAAAGGATAACAAATGGGAGTCTATAAAACTGAAGCGAGCGTTGAGGTGCCAGCGCGGCAGCTGACCATTGCGAGACTGACTCGGTAAGGTCACTCTGGGCACTTTATTTACTACACACGGTATGTCGAAGATTTGTCCTAGAATGTTCCAGAGAGTAAGCACGTATCGTCTAAGTGTACTTAGTAGAAGGAATTCATAAAAGTGATGCCTGGCGCCGGTACATTACATTTGCGCTCCCTCTCCACCCTGCATGCGGCAATATCTCGTGTCTTAACTCTAAGATCACTTAGGAGCTTCATGTTCAGCACAATATTTCAAGTGCCAATCGCATGATTGGTTATTTAAAACCTATCTTATAACAATCTTTGTTTGCACTCAAATAGTTCTAATAATTTATTTGGCCTAATCTCGAAAATATCCTGTCCTTTCGAATCTTCTGTGCGAGACACTTGTAGCATCTGAACTTAGTGACAACACGATTCAATAACTGACTAATATCGTCTCACTTGTTCTTACAATGTAGATATATGCACCCAAAAAGTACACAATAATGAAACATACGCATTTTACCGGATCTGGCGTACAGATAAAGTCGCGCGGTGCGCCGGTGGTGCGCCTAGCGGCAAGCTGCCAACGGCGCACGGCGCCCAGTTTCACCGCGCATGTGTTCAACGCTTTACGTACTGTTAATAGACCTTATGCGCGGTGCGCCTCTGGCGGGCCTAACTGCGAGCGGCGAGTGTCCCGCGACGCCCACTTCAACCGCTCATATGTCGCACGCTTAAGACAGGTGTTATAAACTGTAGTTGATTTACATTTCAGATGTTAGGGATCTAATATATCTGTATAAATCCCTGTATTTCCCCCTGTATTTAGGCACTTCTTTGCACGACAATGTATTCCCGTCAATGGTATAGCATGTCGAAAAGCAAACTGTAAATAATACAAATTCGTTTAAAAATGCGCTTGAATGTAGAACCTGCTTTACAGATAAACGAGATGATCACATATTTGAAGCAATCACTCATATCTCTTCTTGAAGACCGGCAAAAAAATTGGCTTGATACAAGCACAAGAAAGGCGGCAATCAAGAAGGTAAAAGAGGACCATTCAAATAGTTATTTTAGCCTATCTAATTGAGTACAATGTTTTTTTATAGGTAGAGAATATGTACCAGCTTATTGGCTACCCTAACTGGATCAAGAAGCCTAGAGAACTCGAACTTTTATATCAATACGTAAGCCTGCTTTGCTAAATATTTCTTACTGACTTCTCAGTGCACAAATATCTCACACCTACACTAGTATTTCAGTCAAATACACAACATACACACCGGGCCGAACTCACAACTTTATTTTAGATTTTATCTTTGTTTTCTTAGTCGTCTGTTAAATCAAGGCACACAAACTATCCGCCATTATCTCCCTTTGGCCAATACACAAAAGTTTCGCAATTATCTCCTGGCGGCGTAAACTAACTCTTTTTCTAACAACATGAGAGACGGAGTACTGACGCATATCTCATCAAGCCTCGCAATAAGTTCGGCTTTAGTGTCACGCTGCAGTTTTGACAAGGTTTTAATTCTTCATTTGCCACTGATCGTTTTTTGGGGGGAAACATTATTGGAATGAGGCGACGCTACCTCCCAAACTGTGAATAAACTAATTCGTGAGTCTCAGAGCGGCAGTCCCGTTCGATAAACTGCTTAAGAAACAAGCATAGAAAGCAGGAAGATATTTTCATCGCATCCTTTCTTGGTGTATTCTGATTTGTTATCGTTTTTGTGAATTTGAAGGACACAAGCACTGAAAAAAAAAAAGCGAAACCTTTTCGAACTTAATGTTGAATGTGATAATCGATGCGTGCCTCCTCTAATGAATAAACATGTTTCAAGACACACTTTCTTTATATTTAGGTACATTTTAAGACAAAGCGTATGTCAAGCTAGTTATTTCGAGCACGTTGTTGTAATAAATACTTAAAAGCGAAAAAAAGAAAAAAACATCAAAGGCGTACTCGGACGACCACAGTCTCAAATAGGAAAACATAATTGTTATTTAAAGAGTGTGATCGTCAGTGTACGTATTTAATATTTTTATTCTTTTGTGTTAAGTATGTTAAGCTTGTCTACAGTTATACGTTGATGGTGACAATACTAGGTAAAAACGCCAGAGATATTGGTTCCAAAAATACTCCTTTGTAGTGTTCATAATAATTAATTGTATGAAGCTATATGAATTACTGCAGTAGAAATATTGGGAGACAATATTTTTTTTTATTACGGTAGTTCAGATTGACGTGAAAAAATGATTTTAAAGTCTTGCTTTCTGCTATGTCTTTATCGTTTAAAATGTTTAGCATCATTTTAGAACAGCGTGAGCGTGATAGTGTTTTCGAAACATTAAATCAGCTATGCCCGGATATAATTCTGCAGTATGTAATGTGTGTTGATATTGTCACAAATGTTAAGCTATGGGGAGGTAAATAACGAAAGAAATTAAAGGTTTAATGTGGCGATCTTGTGTCAAAACAATAAAGGCAACAGAAAATAACAAGATATCGTCACTGGCGTCTAAGTCGACGTAGCGGCAGGTACGAACGCGCAAACGAGACATACTCCTGCCAGTCGAACTAATTTAGTGCAGTTCAACCGAGTGCACTTCGAATGAGTGCCATTTGTGTAGTGTGCCACACGCCTTCATTTTGAAGAACACACTCGACTTCGAGTGAGTTTGCTTCTTCTTGTTTCATCTTATTTTTTTCATCTTTGCATGTATTAATCGATCAGAATCATCCAGTTGCCGTAAGTATTGTCAATTAACGTAACTTGTCAATTAAAGTAACGCCGTATTTAAACGTGTCTCTATTGAAATACTAAATAATTCCAAAAGAGTTAAGCCTTACTTTAATATTTTAGGTGTCTAATAATATTTTACCCATCGTTATTGTCATTGTTTAGGACTGACACTAATTTATCCCGTGTGGTACCGAAACACTTGAAGTGACATTTCGGTGAGCTGAAGTGCACTTGGTTGAGGTGCGCTAAATTAGCCCGTCTAGATGTAACTCCGGCTCGCCACGCGGAGCCCCTTATGTTCACGGGGTGGCTTCTGCAACAATTGCCCTAGAAGGTTCGGTATGTAGAACATTCGTACTTCGAACAGGCAACAGGGTTCTCGAATTTACCAGAACGCGAAATTTACACAACTAAGGAAAATGTACGCCCGCTCCCAGGCATTGAACCTCGGCCCTTTTGCGTGGAAGTCAAGCACAATACTTTTTGGGCTTTTTTAATTTTTTTATTAAAATACGGGTATATGTACATAGTTAAAAAAAACGGAGACTGTACGGCATATAATACACGCTTCCAGAGAAGGAAACATAAGGCCAGAAGGCAATATGTTAAGACTATAAATGAAAACGAAATAAACGGGACCGGATGGGAACCAAACTCCAGCAAGCAACTGGCAGACCCCACCTGGTGGTGTAGGATAGCCCACGCACTCCGAGGCAAGCCTTCAGCGTCTCACAACATTCTAGTCTCACCTGTTTTGTAGACACTATCAGTTAAGTGGCATAAACAAAAAAACAAAACAAAAAGCACTGCAACAAAATTTTTTTCCGCTGGTTTACCTCCCTCGGCAACAAGGAGGCGACCAGTTCTTGACAGCCACAGTGCATGAAGGCCCAGGATGGTTGGAACCTCAAATTTTCGACCATATACGCCTAACCAGTACTCAAGGAACATCACACTTCGCCATGACACATACAGATTCCCTCTTAGCACCGCACGCAATTGTGCCTAAAAAGTTATGTATTAGTGCAATACAAGATAACATGTACCAGCGTTTCTGGAACAGGACAGAAAGAGCAATTGATAGACTAATGTTCAAAAAAACTTTTTTCCATCAATCACATTTTCATGGGTAACACTCTTCCATGCAATCGAAGAAGGAAATTTTGTGTTGCTGTTTTAACGGGCTATCAACAGAGGAAAAGCAACTAGCCCAACTAGCCATCCTTATCAACAGAGCCGTTTGAAAAACGTCAGACTCAATTGCCGTTCCCTCCCACATTTGATAAAAGGGAACTGTAATGAGCATGCCCAATGCGTACAGTAGCGTCTTCCCTTTCACCTTGTCAAGGTGCTGTTCAGAAAAAAAGGGGACCTTAAAAGAATGAACGGTAGCTTCAATTTCGTTAAAAACTTATAGGGGTCATGAAATGATTTTTATACTTTTTCCTTCTTAGCTTTCCTCCTCAACTCACAAATTGCGTACAGTAACAAACAGTTCAAGAAGACGAAAAGGAGGGACTCCCTTCTTGGTCGGACTCTCGTTTGTGTACCCGGACACCGCCATTCTCCTCCTAGAAGGCTAACCAGTCGCTCGAACTCGAAGAAAAGTTGCCTTCCCCACTCCGTTCACCCCGAAGCTGACAATGCCGTGGAAGCTTAGCATTAAAGTATTAAAAAAAGATATGGTGCGAGGTTCGCATGGAGTTCAAACCCCGTTCCTCCGCTCTGACAACTTCGCAACGCACGCAGCAATACACGCATACAGCTATTTTCTTATCATCTATACATCGCTACTTTTGATTTTGCTTTTTGTGTCTCTTTTACTGTTACGTATACTTGAATAACAAAAATTCGATGTATACACTTTATTTCCTAGTGTGTCTAATCGCTTACGTATATATTGAATTTACTCGAATGTAGATTTTCTGAATTGAATATTCGAAGAAATCTATTGCAACAAGATTTTTGTATTATTTTATTAAAATCGAAAATAATATACCAATACCTTTCTGTTCCGTTTTTAGCTACCGCTAGTTTCAAGTTCCATGAGCTACGTATCACTGATAAACATGACATTACGCAACAATTTTCAAGCAAATCTTAAAGAATTGTCTAAAACCGTTGACAGGAGAAATGTGTAAGTATCCACTGGCTAGATTATAAAGGGTGACTCCGTTTGTGCATTCATATATCTTAAAAAAGTAATACTCATTTTATGAATAATGTTCTTACTGCGCGTATGTTGAACTTGGTGATATTACATTGGACCGCGTCCGTCATAATCGGTGGGACAAGTTTCAAAACAGTATAACAAAACTATGTACCTCATATTTTACCTGCCACGTTGCAATTGCAGTATGAAGAAAGCCATATGTCTGTGCCAGGTCAATTAAAAACAAAGAAATTAGAAAACAAAAACGGCATCCATATATATATATATATATATATCACTGATCTCTATGTCTATTTGCTGGATCGCGTTTGACCAGCTCCTTCTATGGAGCGGAATGCGGTCACTGGCGGCCATCTTTAGGTAGAGTTATATCATCTCTAGCCATCATAGTAATATGGCGGACAGCGCAATGGCGGCAGGCTGCCATAAAAATAGCCATAGATCTAGTACACTGTACCGTGGGTGACATTTCGTGCTTGATTGAAGTTGTTCGACGAAGCAGATTCTTGAAACCCGGCGTGAACGGTAGCCTCATCTTTGAGGACCCGACAAAAGTTCTACGAAAGCGCAGCACCGGGGGAAAGCAGCGCAGCTCGCATCAAAAGCAGACTCCGTACCGTCGTCTGCTTTCGATGCTTCTTTCGATGCGACTTTCGATACGTGCTGTGCTGCTTTTCTTCCGGTGCTGCAATTTTGTGAAACTTTTACCAGGTCCTCAAAAACCGGACTGCTGTTCACGCCGGGTTTCAAAAACATGTTTCGTCAAATAATTTTAATGAAGCACGCAATATCACCCACGCTATTTTGATCGCAGCCTGCCAACCCACCTGCCAAAACGCTATCTGCCATGGATGGATGATAGCGGCTGCAGCAGCTTACATTGGCTAGAGGTGATATAACTCTACCTAAAGATGGCCGCCAGTGACCGCATTCGCGGAGCGGGCAAACGCGATCCAGCAATTGTCATATAGAGATCAGTGATATATATATATATATATATATATATATATATATATATATAAGAGATGGATGCGTACTGTCGGAGTTACTAATTCGAAGTTTATTGCGACGTTTCGAGCGGGGACCGCTCTTCATCAGGTAGCGAGTGTACAGCCCGCGAATGTTTATATACCCATAAGAAGACATTAGAGGGAGTAAAGTGCAGTAGGAAATAAAAACAGCGTTGACAAAACAGATAGTTCACACAGAAAGGAGAGGGCACCAAAACTTGTACATAAAAAATAAACCAAAAACGGCATAGCTATGACATCAGCTGATGCCAAAGCACGGCTATGGCATCAGCACGTCATTTCCTCTGGTGAATGCAAATGCTTTTTCTACAGCAGCCTCTACAGATCCGAAAAAAAAACAAAACAAGAATCAAAGTGGTTGTGAATGGCACTGACGCACGCCGCGCAAGCTGTAATGTGAAGATCCGGGCTTGTTTTTGAATATAGCAAAGGTTTTCTTTTTTTTCTCTTTTAAATATAAACAGAAAGTTCGAGGCGCTCTGATTCATTAGAAAGATCCGTTACAAAACTGTCATACACGCTTTTTAATAAATAAACTGTTGCCAATTGGCCTAGATGCGAATTAACATAGCCACACCGTGCCTTGAATAGCGCGTCATTTCCTAACATCCTTCCAGCTCCGTCACAGGTGGGTGCCCGTAACGTGGTACCATCAAAACCTCTCGTCGCAAATACAAAATAGTCTCATACCACCAAGATTCTAAAGGGTGAAACTCGATCACCAGCTCAATTTCTAATTTTGACCGCTGAGAATATCTTTTTGGGTATAAGTATAGCAGTGCACCTTTGAAGAAAAAACGATCAGTATTACCTAAAAGTCACGCGCCAGGTTTTCTTTGCTTAATATGCCTAATTTTAATTGTTGTCTAAAGTTCTGGTGTGCACGAAGCTCTACCTAAGCACCAGGTCGTATTTTATTGTACAAAGTTAGGGTATAAATTAAACGTAAATTATTTTTACTCTCAATTTATGCTATCCATTTAAATTACTATATATGCAAGATGTACTTTATCTCAGTTCACAATTAAAAAGAAAAAAGTGAAATTGTTCCCACATTTAACTTCACTCAAGACAATAAATTTCCCCACGACGTATGCAAAACAGAATATTTTAGGTTCCCCCCAAATGCGGATAACCCCACAACTCTTTTTTATAGCTCGTTGCTCGTTGCAATTAGCTTGAAAACTTCGTCAACAAATAAAACTGATCTTTCGGGTAAAAGGAGCAAACTGGTATTTTACCCATTTGTTTTACGCGTTCAACGTTTTTATTACCCGTTTATGTTCTTATTTTTTATTCCCATTTGAAATGAAATGCTCATAGGTTTCTTAGTGTATACACCACGTTTGTGATTGTTAGAACTCCAGTAACTGCAAAGTCAATTTAGGAAAGTTTTTAAGTTTCGTATTGCGATCAGTCAACTCTGGTGCAACTCTGGTATCGCTGCGCAAGTTAGTCGCACGATGGAGTTCATTAACAACGTCGTCACGACATGTGGTTAAACGCGTTCTCATTCTAGGCTTTCTCGTGCCCCCCTGATCTCCCAAGCTTGCCATGCTACGAGCTCGATCCTCAAACGCTTCTGCCACCCTCTTGTCCTATGCCTTCCTCCCGACGTGCGCGTGCACCTGGCTGGCCTGCCCTCGGTCCTTCGGCCACGGCGCCACGGCTCACCGGTTTTCTCTACAATCAAATGAGCAGCTCCCAACGCGAAAGAACTTCTAAATGCCGAGCAAAGTTTGCTGTGCGGTGGGTTTGAATGTACAAGACAGCCGCCGGTTTCGATGTCCCGGTTTCGTAAAAGCCTACGCGACGGGAGGCGTAGAAGCGTAGTGTCGGGCGCCGTGGCTGTTCCTCGTCGTACGAGATGGCTTTGTGTGCGGACTATTTCAAAGTCGAGTGCACTTATACGCGAACCATGGCGAGTTCGTTCGTGGCGATCTCGCCGTGGTGGCTGGAGCTGGTCACCAGCGGGTCGATGTAAAAATGACCAACTTCAAAAGACTCTTTATAAAAATAGCGCTCATCGCTGCTGGGATCAGTTTCACACATGTGGGAAGTAGAAGACCCCGACCAAGTGAGAGATATGCCTTAGGCCTGTTTCACAAGCTGCGACTGTGCAAAAAAAATAAAAAAATCCGTGTGACAGCCGACGCAGTGACTGCGATCGCAATGTTTGGTGTCACATGCTGCAACAACCACGCGACTTCTGTCGGCGCGGCTGGCTCTTCTACCCAAGGTTAGTTGCAACGGACAGGGACAAGACAAATTTGACTTTGCCTAAAATGCAACAAAAACGTCTTAATAAAACAAACAAATGTTTTAGAAGCACAATCTATAACTAGAAATTTATAATAATTAAGCATCAAACCAAAACCTTTGAAGTGTCTAAATTTGTTTTCTTATTACTGAGCTATCGCGGATGAAAGCTGGCGAATGAACGCCTGGTTGGCGAGAAAGCGATCGTACTGACTCTGCGATAAAATACCAACTTGGTGTTAACCAGTCGCAGAGCCACTGCGACAGTGCGACTGCGATTTTAGTCGCGCATTTACTGCAAATCGCACGGATTTCGGACTAGAATCGCAGCATGTGATACAGCATTTAGACCTCATTATCTCGGAACCTCGTGCTTGAAACGCGGAAGGTAATCGAGGAAGCTAGAGCGCGAGATGCCGCGAGTGCGTGCAAGGGGATGCCGCGCCGCCAGCGACAGCGGGAAATGTACCTCACCGACATACTGAACATGGCGGCCTTCGCGAATGGGGTTGGATTCGAAAGCCACGAGAGTAAATCAGTTTATCTACGAAACTAACGCGCTATTTACAAAGGAATTTGAGCAAAAGTATCGCGACACCCTATAGGTCCCAGCAGTATAGCTATTGGATATTTTATTCTTGCCTTGTCTTAATCCCTTTAATATCCCGTTTCAAAAGTGCATAAAGCTGTGTTCTTGTCCTTTCGCTTCCAGTTTTCTCGAGGATCCGGCCATAGTCAATGCAGCGTACATTCCTCAAACAAATGCGCTAGGTAAGGTTTTTCATAAAACTTTGACTATTGATTGTAGACCAAACAACCTGAGCCCAAACCAGGACCAGCGTGTTAGGACAATAAGGAAATGAGTGCGTTAATGTGCATTCACGCAAAGCTATGATGGCTCAAAAGGGCCCGTATAAAAACAAAGATTATTCTTATAATTATTATTATTATAAAGGAAAACTTACTCTGGTATTGCAGAATATTTGGTAAGGAATAGTTTCAATCGTAGCGTCCTTCTGCTGTCCGACATGTTTTATTGCGATAATTAGTGTCCCCCGTATGGGTCGCAGTTTTTGTTTGCTCTCCCGTGTTCTGTATCTAGGAATCATTTTATCATTTATTTAAACAATTTATATTTTCTTCTTTTATAATATAATAAAATTGGGCCTTAAACAGTACAATGCATTATGTCAAAAGGAGAACATCAGCAACAAGGAAACAATAATAAATCAACCGAAAAAAGTCACCCTGTTTACACCGCATAAACTATATTTGTCCAAACAAAAATAGCCCAAGAGCAAATAAAATATAAGGCACGCTAAACCAAATCCAAAAAAAAACTGCAATGCTGTGAAATATTTGCTATCAAACAAATTTAATGTTTATTTTAATCAATTAAAAAGTGATGCTTTGGGTAATTGTGATTATGCGGCATTAAATAAGAAATTCAGATCGCTCCACGACATAACATTTTGTTAAAGTGAAAATGTTGGTGTTAATTTGAGTAATATGTTGAAAGACCCGAGGGGACGGTAGCTTTATGTACAATATATTGTTTTTGAAAAGACATAGCGTTGTTTATAAATCGTAAGACAGCCATAATTTAAAGTAACAAAAGTTACATTATTTGTTCTTTGTTTATGTATGCTGATTGGACCATAGAAGCAACTTTGCTGCTTATGAGTACGGAAAATATACTGATCATAAAAATATAACAATCGAAATCGGTTGTTTATGTTTTATAGATAAAATTGTATGCACTTTTTTATATTGGAATATTTTAAAAATTCCAAAATGATTTAAGATATAGGATAATATTCAAATTAATTTTAAACCAAATTTTGCGAGCCTCATACATCTTTTGTGAACAAGCATTTCGCATACATTTTTTTTTTTTTAAATAGTATGCGTCTCATCGATGAAAAAAGTGTTGTGGTGGTTTTCTCGCGGTAGAGCTATCTTTCGCCTAAGCCAACAAACGGTAAAAAAAAACGTTCAAAAAATGTTTAAAATATCTTGTGCATGCGCTTAGTTACAAAACAAAGGTATGTGAACAAAACTTCACAGATTTGAAATTTTGACCTGAAACCGAATTTTTAAGGTTTAATATATTTAATATGTCTGCAGTTACATTCGCTCCAATGCATTTTCTTACAAGGTTTCGAAATGACCTTCTAGCGTGCCCTCTCGCGATATAAAATTAATCTTTAGCTCTTTTGCCTTCCTTATTGTTTACTTATTGTGGAGGAACCTCAATATAATGCCTTTATTCCTTACTTTATAGGGTGCTCTGATTCATTTATTCTTAATTTCTTCTATTTTTATTTTTTATTATGTATTAATTTTACTTTGGTTACTTTTTTGTTTGCATAGCCATTTATTCACCTATTGATTATTCATTCCTGCACATGCTGGGAATACAAGGAGCGCCTGGCCATAAGATTGTTCAATTCGCAAAAAATGTAGTGACTTTAAATATAATTAAATTTTTCTACAGCTCTATATGCAGGGCTACTACAGGGTCCATTTTATCAGAGGAATATTCCAATGTAAGTAATTATACTTTCCTAATGATGCAGATAGCGGGTGGCTAGGAAGCTGTAAAGGCGAACTCGATTATAGATGACTTTTAGGATATTGAATGCCCCGTATTATAAGAATATGTTAGTCCAAAATACGCGCTGTTCACTAAATAGTCATGTATGTCAAACAGCGTTAGGAGAAGGAATTAAAAAGGTTTATGTACAATATTTACATTTGTATGAAACGTTGTGATCCGTTGAGGCGTTCGGTGTGCGTTTTGCCGTTCGGTATTCGTTCTCGTCCTTCTATTATTTCGTTTTTCTCGCATTCTAGCATGTCCTTTTCATTGTTTTCAATCAAGAACTGAAGTTCTAATTAAATTGTTTTACAAACACTCCCACGAAATGAGCATAGACCTGCTCATTTGTTGAGGGAGTCTAGCGAATACAAAACCTGGACCGGTCGTTTGATAACCCTTCCATGGGGAAGATTAACCGCGCATGACCGTGCGTCGCGTCCGGGGTCCGTCACGTCCGGGGAAAGTTTGAACTATGCGTCCCGTTTTCCAGCTCTGACGTGGCTATAGATGTCTGTACACTAATGAAATCCCCTTCGTCGAGCCCTCTGGATTTGAGGGGTCGGGAATGGTGAGCTGAGCGTAGTTGATTTGAGTACTCCCTTCGCTATCTCCTCCTAAAGTGGTTAGCCGCTGCTTGCCGATATTTCCAACGTCTTTGAATATTGGTGGCACCGGATAAAGACGAGAGGTGTCGTTTAACCTTCGGGGCGCTTAAGAAGGAAGTTCCTTGCTTTCGGTCGCGTACGAACGTCCGGTCGTAGGGCGCCTTGCTAGATGTAAAAGTAGCCGTGACGTCCCTTTTAGAGTTGTCTTCGCTCGAATCGGATGACGTATCCTTCGTGCTTGCTGTGGTCAGCAGGATATCTTCATCCGGCTAGTCGTTCTACAGCTCGTCATCATAGTCTTCCTTGTCATCGACGTTGTCTTTGTTCGGGGCATCATTTGCCGGTTGCTTGTTAAGGAACTGTGTGCTGGGACGCTCTACTCTTCCACGTGTCTTTGTACCGGCTCAAGAATTAGTTCGTTCTCACTGGATCAGTCTCTTCTTTCATCTGGGTCCTGCGCAGGTCCTTCAAGTAGCTATCCCTGACATTCTGGCGTAAGCTTGCTCCTCAACTTCATGTCCTCCATACTCAAGCGCAAACTTCCACTCGTTCCTTTTGCGACTCGTCCCCTCCCTACTGAAAAAAACCATTTGGCGCCTATATGAAAATAAACAGGTCCATACCGGTAACAGTTTAACCATACCGGTCACCAGTTTGTCAAAGGGGTCGCCCGTATGGCTCAAAGGGGTCCCCCGTATGAGCCATAACGGTCACCTATTTGGACAAACAGGTCACTCCTTTGGCAAACGGGTCGCTCGTCTGGGCAAATGGGTCGCTCGTTTGGGCAAATGGGTGACTCGTTTGGGCAAAGTTGTCGCACGTTTGCTCAAACCGGTGACCATGTTGCAAACGGCACCGGTTTAATCAAATGGCTCTCCGGAGCCCGTTTGATACTGAACGTACAGATCTGCGGCGTGTGCACGCCTAGCGCTTCAGCCGTGGCAGCCAATGTTTCCGGAAGGCTGGGAGCGCCGGTTCATCGATTTCAGATCGTCCGCGTAATGCAAGTAATTGTATTTATGTTTCAATTGCGCTGATGTTCGCTTATACTGCAACTAAAACTAACATCTTTTTTTTTTTTTACGCAAACGCGCAACGTTGTAAGCCGATATTTTTGACAGCACTTTAAAACTTGTTGCCTCAATTTACTTATTCAGCTCGAATCTCTCTCGCAGAAGACGCGACCGCGTGAAAGAATGTACGTTTAGACTCCGTTTCACTTTAATTCAAGACGCAGCGAAGGTAGCACGCGTACACGCGGCTGCAAGAACATCGAGCATTGCGAGAGCTCGCCCGCCGTTGCAGCAGTCAAACTACGAGCTCGCGCTGAGTACTTTCTTCGCTCGGGCGCAAGCCGAGCTTCTTGCCGCCCCGCCGCCATTTCCAAAATTCGAAAATGTTAAAATGCGCGCGCGCGCGCGCGCGTTTTTTTTTTTTTTTTCGAAGTTACAAAAACGCATCTTTCTGGAATGCCTGGGGAGAGGGAGAGGGGCTGTCCCTGTGGTCCTCGCCCGCTCCCTCCTCTCTTGTCACCCGTCACGTGACCCGCACCCGCGCGCGAGCTACACGCTGATAAGCATCGAGATCCGGAAGGGTGCGCCTAGCAGCCGCTTTTTTCTTTGTCTGCTTGTTGTCAGTTCCAGCTCGAACTTAGCGCGTCCACCTGCTTCGATCTGTCGCCTAACCCTGCGGTCTTATTAGGATGTCTCTCGACAACGTATTGGATGTGCACCAAAGCTATCAGTGTTCGAAAAGTCCTACGTCTATATCGGCAACAAGCGATTCTTCGAAGAAGTCAGGAATTCTTGCGTTTTGGTTGGGTTTGGCAACTGACACTTGTGCGCCACATCGCGTTGAAACTTCCAAGAAGCTGTTCCCTCTCATTTGTGTTTGTGTGGTTGTCCTGCTTTGACAGTGTCGACAACTATCACGGATTACATCTTTCAAGTCCGCTATTTTTATGGTAAGTGCACTGCAACCTGCTTCTTGGCAACGATTGACCGTTCTTCTACTCCTACTCTTCCAAATTATTTATATAATTATGCAGCCACTATTCCCGCGGCAGCCGGGCGAATAATTTCCCGAACGTCTACAATCATAGTTTAGAATTACCTCGTTTCTTGTTTGGTTTGCTATCTCCTCAGTTGTATAAAAGCTTAGAGTGCCTCTCACATTTCACAGATCGCTTGCACGTTTGTACTTGACTACAGAAGACGTAATAAAATTTGAGGAGAATTGAAAACAATCTTTTGTGTCTGTTTTCCTGTCCATTTGCACGCACCTACGTGAGCACACTTGTTCTACGTGTTTCCTCCATGTTATAAATAGGTTTATGAGTTTCGGAACGTCTTAAATAAGTTTACGATAACCAACGTACCAGACAATCCCCGTTTAGGGCTAGCGCATAATTTCCCAATTCGAATGGCACGTTCAAACATGTGGTCACGTGCAACGTCGAACGGGCACCTGTATCAAACGGGCACCTGTATCAAATGGGTACCGTTTCGAGCGGGTACCGTTTCAAACGGCTACCCGTATCCCATAATCACGTTTGATCCAAACGGGTCGACAAGTTTGCACCCGTTTGATTTACCAGTTTGCCACCCGTTTGAATTTCAAATGGTTTTTTTCAGTAGGGCTCGACTCCCTCAAGGACCCCTTGTTCATAGCCTGCTCTTGCCCGCGGCTATGTCTGTGTCTGCTCGCGAGGAGACCTGCGCACTTCTTCTACAGGCCTTCTTCTCGACTCCTGAATGTTCCTACTTGATTCAGACCTCTCGTGCATCTGCCACAAAAACTCCGTCTGTTGGCCGACTTTCTCTCCAGAAACCACCTGAACTGGTCTTCCGAAATGGGCAACACGTGACGAAGTAACCTCTGCCAAAGGTGCCTGAACGGGCCTCTTTTCACACTCCACCAAGCGTGCAACAGCTTTCTCCTGGTTCCTGTCCTTCCTGCCGTTCAACTGCTGCATGTACTGCTCGTACTGTCTCCGAAGCACCTCTTCAGCCTGCGCCGCTTTTTTGTCTGTCAGCACCTGAACAGGACAGGCCGAAGTAATCGTAGGGACGGGATGTAACAAGATGGCGTAGTGAATCATGAGTCACCTCCTCGCTGTCTCCCCTCCCCCTCAGCGATATCTTGCCTCTCTGTGGCAGTTCAGGCTGCCTGTAAAACCTCTGCTTCTCAGGGGGCCTTCAAGCCTCTTGCAATCGCGCGTTTTCCCTCATCTTGCTCTAAACCCTTTTGTATTGCTTCCTCAGCAATGCCTCCCACCTGAGCAGCCTTCTCTCCAGTGTGTACCTGTATACTGGCCTCCTGAAGTCAAATGGTCTAGACGTGATTGGCGCGTTGTCGCACCTGGGAAGTGGGTCGAACCAGATTGGGGCCTTTTCATCAGGACATCCCCTAGCTTCCTTTTCTAAGATGTCTTGTTCAAAGGCCTTATGCCTCTGTGCCCTGTCGTACTACCGCCAAAGCAGTTCCTCTTTCTGATGCGCTTTTTCCCCGGTTAGGACGGGAACCGGTCTTCCGTAAACGTCAACCGGAGAAGACGTCGAAAGCGAGCGGCCCGCAGAGGAGAAGTCGTACGGATCGCGATCACCCATGATAGGCCTTGCAGGAGTGTCACCACTGTCGTCGAACCTTACCGTAGGTTTCTCGTCCCCGTATGATTTGGTGTCATCCTTGATAGGCCTAGTGGAAGGGGTCGCCACGGCCCAACCTTGGAGGTTCATCGTCGTCGTCAATCTTGAAAACGGTTGTCTTCAACCAGATGTTGGCGGCGTTGCTTACCTTGATGGGCCCTTGTGGAGACCACCCGTAAATGGTCTCCACTGCGGTCAATGAAAGGTTGACGCGACGTACGTTTCCGGCGGTAACCCTCCAATGGTAGTCTGCTCCTATTAGAATGCTCACTCCACGCTCCCCTTGACAGTACCCCACAAGTAAATCAGCGAGTGTGAACACTTATCTTCGTAGGTTTCTGATGATGTCGCCATTAGTGAAAGTAAGGATCTCTCCGCAGATTTCCTGAACCTCCAAAGCCTCGACTACAATCTCGGCGGGCCTTGTCGCCGCTGCTGTTAGCCGGCTGCCTTGTCGCCGCCCACTTGGGGTCACACATTACGGTCAAGTGTTTTTGCGGAGAGCTTATCACACACTAAAGTTTGTGCGTTGATCTGCTCTCTCTGGAGCGAGGCAACAGTTTAGTGCACCGAGAGCACCTGTTTTCTACTTTTAGCTTGTCTTTTTTTTATCATTCGAGGTGCCCTGAAGTTCTCCAAGTTGTGCTCCTTAGAGCTGCAGAATACGCAGCGCCTTAGTTCAGGTTTCCTGGCACTGGTTAATTCTGCCGCCGGCCCTTCCCTCTCGGAGTGGCGTTCTAGGCGATGTAAATCGGGTGTTTGTTGTTCTGATGTGTGGGGTGTCAGCTGGCGGCACTTGTCTCTGGTCTCCATGTCGATGTCAATGAACTTGAGAAGCCTAAGGAGTTCATCTTTGTCTTCGCTCTGTTGTTGTTTTTCAAAAATCAAGCTGCGATTGTATCTGAGAACGAGCTCTGAAGGAAGAGACTTCTTTAGTACTGTATGCAGTATTACCCCATAGGAGTCCGAGTACACTCCGAGGTTTTTTAAACTCCTTATCCGGGTCATCACATTGTCATAGAGTCTCCGGCGTTCATCCGCTGCGTCTGACGTTGCGATTTACTTTACGTTCAAGAGGTGTGTGAGGTGGTCGTTCACGATGACAGAAGCTTGACTAAAGCTTTTTTGAGCAGCTCTATGACCATGTCGTAGTTGTCACCGGTTACCGGAATTCCTTTGATCACCGCATCAGCTCGGCTGACCAGGTGCCCTTGAGGTACTTTAGCTGATCCACGGGAGACAAGACGGGGTTCTGGTTGATAGACGATTGAATTTGGTCCCAGAATGTCTGCCACTCTGCCAGCTCTCTGTTGAATTTCGGCAGCCCAGCTTCGGTAATTTCACGTTTGGCACAGTCGCATCGTTCGTCTCTTGTCCCTCTGAACGTGACGCGTTGTTAGAGGCCGAAGAGGTCGTTTCGTTGTTCTTTGGCTGTAGTTTCTTTAATTAACTCGAAGCTCTCGACCTGGCTATGCTGATGAAATCTTCATCGCCGAGGCCAGCTTCCATTTCTTCTTCCATGTTTCTCTCATCAAGAAGGTCCGCTATCAGAGCGTCGAGCTTCCAAAGCAATTTTTCTTTTAACGCAAGAAGAGTGATCGTATCTTTAAACGTACCTTGCTGCGCGGGAAGTTGGTTCATAGCTGTTGTTATCTGGTTGATGAGCTTTGTAATCGCGGATTAGACTACTCCTCGCTTCTTATCGAGCTTCTTCATTGCAGCCGCTGTCGTACACGCTGTTCCGTTGCTTGGGTTGCCCGAGGTTGTGGTGGCTTGCGTCGAACGTCTTATCTTGGCGATTAGCTCCCGAGTTTCTGCGCCACGATTTCGTTAAATTGCGTTAAAAGGATAAATAAAAAAAGTTTATGTACATTATTTACATTGGTGGGAAAGGTTGTAATTCGTTGAGGCTGTTGGTGTGTGTTTCGTCGTTCGGTATTAATTAAGGCGATCGGTGCGCATTTCGTCGTTCGGGTGTCCTCTTTTCGCGATTAAGCATGCCCTTTTCATCGTTTTCACTAAAGAAATAAAGTTACAATTAAATCATCTTACAATATATACAATTTTTTAAAGGGAAATAGCACATATCCTAAGTAGCACGACACTAAAGAGGTTATTTCAAATAAGATATTTACTATATATTAATTCATTTATATTCGCTCTTTAAGCGACTTAATCTGGATTGTAGTACGTCTTTACAATAATTTAATTCTACGCTCTAATAAACCAAGATATGTCCCTACCCATTCTACTATTTAACACAGTGCTGTAAAAATGGGAGCGACTGGTTGGACTTCGGCACACGAAATAACACACGGCCTCGATACACTTGGTAAGTACCAATTTATTTATATACAGTCCATACTAATAACTACGGAATATGTGAGTTACCTTGCCCTAGACTGCGCTTGTACAGAAACATGTCTGAAGCATTGTCTCCTCACAGTATGAATATTTGCGTGAAGAGGAATCATTTTGTTCTTGACAGCTGCTGAGATTATCGATTTTAGTCTTGCTTAGGCACGCAAAATTAATGCATTATAAAATTATTGTATTATCAATAATATTAATATTATTATTCCATCAAAAGTTTAGTCACCTGCGTACAAAAGCAGATTGCTGTTTTTCTAATGTTACCTTATGGTACCATTATCTAACGTCACTCGTGCCGGCGGCGCCGATAACAGCTGTAGCCGAGCCTACGCCCGCGGTGGTGGATGTTGTCGCAATCACCAATGTCACCAAGGTCCCGAAGTTGCAGTAAGCCGCCAACTTGTTTCAAGCTGCGACTTAGCTGGCAATGGATTCCCCGGGCTGCTGGTCTCTTCGCTCGAACTTTTTTTCTGCTGAAAGGCTCTGACGGCAGAGTGTCATAATGCTTCAGCACTAGCGTCATCAGCTTGTCAACGCTCAGGTTTTCACGTGTCCTTGGTGTGACGAGTACTCATATTGCCTCATAAGCCTTGGCTCCACAAATTTAATTTAAATTTAATAGCCTTTAAAGAGGAAAGCTACAGCAGAGCTTTCCTCTTTAAAGGCTCTTCGACTCCGTTGGCTTCACAGTAAAAAGCTGAGACGCTCGGCCGAGGATGTCCAAGCTCTTTTGTCAGATTCCTCCAGCTCGCCTTGAGTGACCACACTTCCCAGTGAAGTTCTTGCCTGTCGACCGACCTCGTCACCAAAGTATTATGTTTCTTGGGCAAGGACTCAAACTCAGACTGGGTAGCATCCGGATGTCGTAATTAACGGCGCCTCGAATCCTTAACCGGTGCACCAGTCCCCTGCACCAGACCCGTGCCCCAACTCCGTGCTCTGAAAACCCCGGCCGCCAGGCCGCGCTGTTGGTTGGACACCAGTAAATACATATTAAAAAAAAAATCTCCATCAGTAGGCCATGGCACTTTACTGTTGTAACCCCATATGACATACGACAAATCAATTTCCTTGTTTCAAAAAGATACATATCGTCTGATGAAGTGGTTTGAGTACTATTCTTTAAAAATTAACAAGACAAAAGCGAATCTCGCATGTTTCCATAATCCTTTCAAAGTTCTTGTTCCCACTGCGCCTCTATTCTTACATTTGTCATCATGCACCTCGCGTCGTTGCACCCCCGTTTCTTATCGTAACAACAGAACGTAAAAAGGTGTTAAATTCGATAGTGACGTCATGGAATACACATCGAGGAACTGTATGCAAAATGCTCAGACGTCTATCTAGCCTATTGTGTAACATAACATATCTCGTCTCACCATATGTAAATGATTGAATATTAACCTTTTATCCTATAGCATTCTCAGATATGAAATCACTATCATTGGTGGTCGCTCTGACCTGTGGCACGACAAAGTAGACAATGCTTTAAATAAACACTTAAACGTATTATAAACGGTTCAGATACCGACAAACAGGAACAAATAGCTAAAATAAATTTCCCGCTATGTCGAGCTCTGTTCTCCAAAACGGTTGTTTTAAAATACTTTTGGAGTAACCATTTTTGAAGTTCCTCACGTTGCATCTCGCTCACTAAGACACACAACACGCTTTGAAGTACCAAGGTGTAAACAAAGTCTGGTAGAAGACTGATGCGATTTTATACGCCGGACATGTTTAATAAATTTTCTGGCAACATATTTGAGACGGATTCTTAAGGAAAACTTAAACATGCCCTACGATATCTACTTTGACTTTGTTTTGGCAACTCCATCTGCATTGAGTTTAACTACTGGACATTTTGAACCATACTTGGTTTTTTTTTATTTCTATGTGTAACCACAGGTTTTTTTCTTGTTGCTAAATCTCTGGACATTTTTACACTGTGCTTTATATTTTTTTGCGATTTGCACAGGGAGTTTTTTTCCCTTCTTTATAGTGGCGCTGAATCACATGAAAGCAACTGTTAGGTTGTCAAATCACTGCTATTGGATGAAGTAGTTTTGGCGCTCCAACTTTCGCTGGAGGCTGGGTTTCGGCCACACAAGCCACACAGGATTTGATTGTAGTGAGGTGTCACATATACTGTGACGACTCATATTAAATTCACTTTTTGTACTAAAGTGTATATGGAAACAATGTTTGTTAACAATTGTGATTTTCTGTTTGAATTCACGCACCATGCTCATCAAGGTGATGTTCATCACACATGCACTAGATGGGTTTGATCAACCCGTGTCTCTACCTGGTTTATCTGTCCGTGCAATAAACATGTAATATTATTATTAATTATTAATAAAAATAGTTATAACATTATTATTATTATTATTATTATAAACATTAACGATAAAGTTTCAGTACTAGTTGCATTCGCCTTTGGAGGCTATGTCTGAAAACGTGAAGAAAAGCTGGCTTTCCATGCGACAGCGTTAGTGCCAGTTTTGAATCCAGCGGGTGTCTCACTTAACTTTCTCCAGGAAAATCAAAAAAGCTGGTGCACGCTGCGTTTTTGAAATAACACAGTGGCAGTTCTAATAACACAGTGGCTGGCAGTTCTATTGAGCTAGTCAAGATCATTTTGGCGATCTGCAAACGCAAGACAAAGACGCAGTTACTCTTATGGGTTGATACTAATCTGTAAAATTAATTAAATCTGTAGAGGGTAAACTAACGCACGGCCCACTGGGTGAGTTTGCATTTTCAAGATTTAGGACAACCGCTCGAATGAAGAAAAATATCATGCTTGCTGGAATAAATAAAATTTATATTCAACAAGATTAAAAATGAACACTGCACAAGTATCTTTTTTTTTTTTTGAAGAGTAGCACAGTGTTCTTGATAGGACCACAAGAGTGTTTTTTGATGTTCATCGTAGTTATGCTTTTAGAGCTCATATGTCGGTCATCCGTAGCGTAATCGTCGCTGCGTCAACGGTCTTGGACGAAGTCGCATCTTCCAGTGGTCTTCAGTGGCGATGGCCGCGCATGGGTCCAGAAGTGAACTATGGTTTTGAGGCTTTTCTAGTCTCTGCCGAAAGTCACCTACGTCGCTTCAAGTACCTCCGATTGGGTCTCGCACTTTTTTATTATTAATTTAGAGGATACTACGGACCATTTAAGGTTCCTGTGGAACGGACTACAAACATTAGCAAGAACAAAACTTTTCAGCACAATAAGAAAATGCGTGGCAATACTGTTCATGTTTACCGAAGAAAAAAAATAAACAGGCATTTAAACAATACAATATACAAGAAACTAATTTACACCTCAATCACCATAATACAACGTCAACTACATGAAAGCAAAATAATAAAAATTAAGAAACGGTGTCCACTTTCTAAATTTTAAAATGAGAGGTAGTGTGAACACGTAAAATAAATGAACCGAACTACGACGCTCGGCAGCAAGACGTTCGAGACATTCAGTATATTTAGTGTCAAAAAAATGTTTCAGAGGTTTCCCTCACTTCCCCATTCGCCTCATTTCTGAGGTTTTCCGTTCCAGGCTACCTCTCATTCTGCGGGCTCACCATTGGGCTCTTGTTGACCGCCATCTTACAAGCCGTGGTCCCTCCGCGACATTTTCGGGCCATCTCAAAATCCGTTCGCATTTTTAGGTCGACACCGTAATCTTCTTCCTTGTTCACTTCCTTTTTATTCTTTTTTATCGCGGAATGTGGCAACATTATCTTAGCATTGAGTGCGTACCAGTGTTCATTCAAAGAAACAAACATCTCTTCCTAGGGATGCTATGTAATTAGGTACAATATTCATTTTTACAGGCAGCCAATTTGACGATACTGGAAAGCTTCACGACTGGTGGAGCCCTGATGTGCGGAAGAAATTCGAATCTCAGGCCCATTGTTTCACCAATCAATACAGTGCTATTAGAGACAAAGAAGCTGGCATGCCGGTACGTAGTCTCCAATGATACTAGAAATTGCCTAGATTTCAGTTCAATCTACTGTTAGATAAAAACGCACATCCTGCTTTCTTTAAAATGTTTTAAAACCGGCAATATACAGTGTTTGTCTTTTATTCGAGCAGATCTTTTTTTTTAAAGGGGGTTGGGCGTCAGGCAACCCTTATCTTCACCATATACTTATGAAGCTCGGTGGACATTAGATGAGGAGATAATTGCCCTGGCAAGTTGATTATTTAACTAGGATCTCCCAGTAAACTTTTTTATTATTGGTTGTAGGGGTTATGTCGGAATTGCAGTATTACAGCAAATTACAATTAGAGGCTACACCAAACTAAAAAAATTGTGCAAATGTAATAGTTTTTGAGACTTTTGTCAGCTAACTTACGCGTTTTTCAACGGACTGCAAAACAATTACGCTAAAATAAATATAGTGCATCAATCCCCGCCCGTATTGACGCGAAGAGGGACGTGGTCGTTTCAATAATGTTGTAACTATCTCGGCAGCGTAAGCTTGGAGGGTGCACCGACAAAACAAGTGATCACGTGACCTAAACAACTACGTCACTCTTCCAACCATATTGTGGGCAGGGCTTGATGCGCTCTTTTTAAGCGCAATTTTTAAATCGGGCAAAAGAACGCGAACAATTATCCATTAATATCTCAAAAACCGTTGCTTTTGTAGATTCCTCCAATTGGTCTGACTCTATTAATAATTGCCGTCAATACCGCAATGGCAACATGACCCCGAGACCAATAATTCTAAAGCTAACACATTTTTAGTTAATTATTCAACTTAGCATGACGGTAATTTTTTCATTTCATTTCCACGAAACCTTATAAATGCATGGTGAAGACGGCACTAATCTAACTCCCAACACCATGTAAAAAAAACTGTTTTATTTAGAAATTCACACCCTTCATCGGGTAATACATCTACTTTCTTAAGTGGATTACAAACTGCATTATTCTTTTGCAAAAATTTGAATCAATTTTGGGATTAATCAAGGTAAAAAAATGTCGAAAACGCGCAATTCATAATAGTAAATTAGACGTCAAGTCGAAATCGCAATCCCGCCATGACGCCACGGTCTCGATTACTCTTAAGCAAATTTACCGTGAGTCCCATTCAGTGTGACGCTAATTGAGCCTTGCATCCATTTGTAGTGCGCTTTTACACGACGGTTTTCTAAACACACTTGCAGGGTGTATGTATTCTAGATGCACTAAACTATTAAATTAAGGGTTAAGAAGTTATATAAATCTGGTTTTCACTCTGTTTATAAGGCTTGGCGTATATTTGTTGGCAATATAGCCATCACTATGATCAAGCTAACTAACTAAAATTTGTGAATGAGGTTTTTAATTACTGTATAAGGATATTTCTTTACATTACAAGCCTTGAGGCGCTCGTGTGCCACGATTTTTCTTTTGTCGATTTCGCGTAATCAGCTCGTGTTCTGCGATATTCGTCCCCAAATTCAGCACTTTTATCAGGCCAATGTAGTTAAGTTTGTCTATAGCACCCACTTTCGCGGGCTTGTCGGATTGAATGAAAAATATGTTTGGTTAAGTATTAAATTCGAAAACAAATATCGGAACACGGGCTGGTTAAGCGAATTAAATTTTTTAACATAAACATATATCCTAATTAAAGCAATGAAAAAGTTAAAACGAAAACTTTTTTTAGTTAATTAGCTTGATGATAGTGATGGTTATATTTCTATCTAATATTCGCCGAGCAATATAAACACGCCGTGAAAACCTCATTCATATTACTTTTATTACTTTATTTAAAAAATTGTGCGGCTGAAAAATAAACACACTGTATGTTATTTACATGGAATAGGTACTTTCGCACCAATTACGGGAGATTTAAGTCTCTCTGGAGCGACTGTAATGCCACAGGAGTCCAATGATAAGATCTACGTTATAACTTAGAAGAAAGCCAGCGAAAGCCGCTGAGACTTTAGTACCAGGTGGGCGTGGAAAGGTAGCCTTTAGTTTGTGATTATAATTGTGGTATTGCTGGAATGACGTTATTTCAATCAAAAAACCCCTTTCAAAAATATTGGTTGAAATAATGTTCGTATTTACTTGGCGTCCAAGCGTCATGCTCTGGGTCGGGCTGTGTAAGAAAGACTGACTTAAGACAAAGATTGATGACGTGTCTGGTTTTTATTGATTTGTGATTCAAATTTATCAGCTTATTTTTCACCGCTTGTCTATAGTTGATGTTTTCCCCCTGAACGTATTCTCTGTACAATATCAATTTCTCGAATTTCGGAGAGAAATAGCAAATACTACAGCAATATTGTGATTTAGAAGAAGGCAATATAATTTCTTTACATTCATAATTACAGCTGTATGGGTTGCGGAATTTGCGAGAAAATATTGCGGACAACGGCGGCATCAGGATCGCATACAAGGTAGTATTTTTTTTCTTTCTTCGTGCACTTAACGCCCACAAAATTGTAAGCAAGCGCAAATATTGGCAAATTTTGTTTCTCACGCCATGTGGAAGTACTGAACAAAGAGACAATATTATCGGGCAAATAAATGAAGAAATCGGGATTTATTTACTTGCTTAAAATCAATAAAAAACAAACAAAATAACGAACGACACGAGTTCCTTTCCAATAAAACGTCGGTCTCGTATCGTGATTTTTTTTTTTTTTTTTATTACTTCCGCCTACTGTAAGTTTCATCGATACGCGTTTCAGTTGATTTAGACTGTGTTGTGACTAATTGAGTAATTGATTGAACTATATCATTGTTTCAAGAATGGATTCATGCCGCATTTAGTTTTTTTATTACAATCGCTTTCGAGGCCCCCCACTTTAAGCAGAAAGAAGCTCGCGCTTCATCCCTGGGTATGCTTGGGTGTGCTTTCCTAGTAGCCTGACCACCAGCAAACGCGCTTTTTTTCTAAACCTTCAACTGGCTAGATAAGAACGAACGCGTCAACAATTTGTGCAACTGGTTTATTTCTTTTTTGTAACTCAAAGATGCATACACTAAAAGTTACCGCAATATTTCTTCTTCTTCTTAATTTGAACTATATACAGGGTGTCACAAAAGAAAATTTACAAGGTCTTTTTTACCGCAAAAATAAACTAGGCATCGCCGAACGCTCACTCTCCGTCCAAAGGTATCGCTAGAGGTCAGAACCAGATGCTAACGTTTCAGCCCGATCCGATAACTTAATCAAGAGTTACAAGTGATTTTCTGAAAAGTTCAATGGGAAAATGGCGGCCGACGGAGTTTTAGAACACATGGCGCTCTACGGCACCAGAAACCGAAAACGGGCGAAAATCGGCTCCATTTTCCCATTGAAATTTTGAGAAAATCACTTATACCTTTTGATTAAGTTATAGGATCGGGCTGAAACTTTGGCATCTGATTGTGACCTCTAGCACTACCTTTGGCCGGAAAATGAGCGTTCGGCGATGCCTAGCTTATTGTCACGGTAAAAAAGACGGTGTAAATTTTCTTTTGTGACACCCTGTATAAACGGTTAACATTGATTTTTCATCTGCCAGTTAACAATACATACACATGCCTATGTCAGAGGTATTGAACAATTGGAAACATTAAATTTTGGATCTAATGTGCATGTTCTTCATAGTTACACAAATGTTAATTTTTTTAACTGAATTTTTTTTCGCTACTGCAACCAGAACGCGGTCTTCAAGATGGACTCCAAAGTATGAAAAAGCACGCGCTTTTCGCTATTCTAGCACCAGCTTGCAACATTTCTAAATATATTTATCACATTTAATAAAGAACTTGTGTCTCAAGAATACTAAATTTAGAGTTGCAGATTTGCATTTTGAAGATTATTTTAGGTCTACAATACTGTTGATCTGCCAGTAGAGGGTTAACGTTGCCAATTCTGCTTGGGGAATATAGGCGTGGTTCGACGGTCAGCCCAGTATTTTGAACAAATCTAAAGTTGCAGAATAAATGCTACTCTGCGTCAATAGTGTTTACCCTAGCATGTTATTATCCTCTAAAAATACATGACCAGGAAACAACGTTAATTATGTTCATTTCACTCTAGACCTCCTGTGTATGATCGCACTCGTTTTCCGAGGGTGGTCTTTCGCGTTCCCTGATTTGGTCAAATTTTAATATGTTCACAGCTCGAGTCTACAAATAATTAAAATAAAGGTGTGAAGAAGGACACGCTTTGATTAATATTGTAGTGTATAGACTGCACGGCCCGCTAGGAGGTAGCGCCACCATCCAATCGCGTATCGCGTCACCACCGCGCCCAAATCGTGCGCAGCACGACCAACGGACGGTAGACCAACGGCCCATGAAAGCCGACGCTTCGCCCGCCGCTTATCTTGTTATTAAATAAATCATGTTCGAATACAAAACATAACAATTATAAATGGCTGATTTAATTCAAAATAAACGAGAAAAGGCGATGATTAAAAAAAAACTTTTGATAATATCTGCTTCGGTCCAGCTCGTGACTAGAACGATAGTGAAATCCCATTTAAGGCATATTTTAGTTCTTGAATTTTTGACTCACCAAATATAAATTTTGAGATTTGGGCGATCGCCACAAGTCGACCATTTGTGTGTTACACCAGACTTATTTACATTTCGCGCAACAGCAAAACTTGCTACGTATTTTTTTAAGGAAAATAAATATACAAACTTTGTATGAACGCGATAGGATTAAGGAGCTTGTGTCACGCCGGCTTCAGTGGCGCGACGCCAAAATCCTTATTGGTCGATAGGGTCATGACGTCACAGCCACATGACCTCGTGCGGGAACTTCAAACAACCCACAAGGCTCATATGACGTCATACGTCTAATGAAGGTAATTAAAATATAACATGTAATGGGAATTAAAAGGCACCGCATGTCTCAAATTATTTCACTTTATAAAGTAAATCATTTCCCTTAAAAACATTATTTAAAAAATTTAGCCGGTATTCGAACGAACGACCCTTTGGCTGCTGGCCACACACGCCGTGCAAGGCACGCTTGCACGGCGAATGAGAGGGCCATGCGAACGGGGCCTGATAACGCCATCGCGTTCCACTCTTTAAAGGCAAAGCTTAAGCGTCGTCCAAGTTTTTATTAAAATTATTTTGTTAAAAATATGGTACCTACCTGACAATAGTTTACCTAGTTTAAATAATGCCATTTCTAATGTTCCAAGTTATGGCATAAATTATATAGCAAATGAAATCTTCAATATATTCAATTCGACAAGCGCACAGGATTTGTAGTTTGAGTTGAAATTATTTCATCAGGAAAAACAACTTTGTATACAGGACTAAACTATAACTGTACGACTTTTAAGGATTTTTGAATAGTTTATTTTAATTTATTATGTTTTGTTCAATATGAAGATATCTTAGCTAGCATCGTCTAAAATAACAGCAATAATCAGATGTCATATATGGGTGTGAGATATATAGGCTTTTGTTTAATATACACTTTTAAGTTTTGACGGAGATGGAAATGTATGGGTCGTCGCCATTTGTTTTGGCTTAATATTATTCTTCGACACTTTCTCACAGTATTTGTTGGCAAAAACTTACTAAACACTTAAATTATGTAGAAGTGATGAGAACACGATATGGTTTTTTTTATTATACGTCGATTATCTTACACTGGTTTGTCTTTTATCTAAGCTCCTAGGTCATAGATTAAGGGATATCACATAAAATGGAACAACCTCCTGGACAACAATTCTGATCGTTTTATAAACTACACGATGTGCATGAAATTTGAGATTAGCCCATGAAATACCTATGGTGCATAAACAGTGAAAAGATTAAATAATTATACAGTCAAAACTTGTTTTGAGCATAGCAAAACCAAACAGTTACGTTGGTGTATCATCGACAGCAAAGGGAACAAGACAATGCTCAATTAAATTAGTTTTTCGCTTGACCCAATATTTTTTTTCTAAATTGTTCCATTACGCAACGGAACTCCCGCTCCTGTCTAAACGAACACGTGATTATCAATTAACGACGCTCACGATCTATCATGCCTCGACTGCAGCACGTTGAACGGCGAACGTTTTATCGATAATGGCATGGCAAATATTAAAAGCAACAAAGAACTTCCGCGAGCCGTCGTCTTGCTGCCACAAGAAAACTATAAATGGCAATATAGTTCAAGATTATTGTGTGATGCATAATTTTATCCCTGGCCATCCATATGAAGGTAATCTTGTGATCTTCGGCAGCTCTAATGGCAGCTTATCAAGTGGCGCCAGTGAAGGCGTTCGCACTTTCCGAATCAAGAGTAGCGAAGTAAAAGATGATGCACACGGGCCACTAGGGCTGCCGCTTTAGGACGCTGACACTACTGAGAGGTCGACAACGCAGCGCGACACTATTGGCGCAAACACGACTTCGGAGTTTCGGCGGACACCAAATTTACCACTTAGTTTGTTGCTTCAGATGGGTTCTTTTTACTACGACTCTAGTTTAAATCACATCACGTTTCTTTTTTTTTTTATGCAAAAGCATATGAATTTTCTTTTTCATGTATCTACCTCCGCGCAAAACACGAGTTGAAGCAACTGAACCCGCAATTCTGTGTACGTCTGCGGTCCCCAAAATGAATCTTATATCTTCCTTTATTAAATAGTCACAGGTAAAGTACCTCGACTTCACATTCTATTCCCAGTTACGACCACAGCTCTGTAAAACAAAAACAGCTTGTAGGTAAGCCAGATGAGTATGAAAAACTGTTCGAGCTCATTTTGTCCGCGACAGTGCTTATCAAAGGTACAGCCACCACTAAACTGCAAAAATTACTACTTTATTGCCCGCGATTCAAAAGCTAAATTGGTCACTGCAACAGCTGGAATGTTTTTCCCGGGCTGGGTTGTGAATGGAGAGCCAAACCTTCACCACGTTGTTACGTAGTTTGGCTGTTAGACGCAGAAATAGAACAATCTTCCAAAACCGGATAATCTTGTGGCGGCATTGAGTTTGGGGATCTCTGTACCAATATGATTTTTCATACACCGATCTTACAAATTGCTTACATTTAAAACGAAATAGCACACCTTTTACTTCAAATAAACTTCTTACTCTCGAACTAATTAAAGCTGAAAACTTGTAGGGCACGAAGTTTTGTTACACATAATTGTGTTAACATTTTTTTTATTACAATCGCATGAAGGGCAAGTGTAAGTTTGGTGATATTTTATTACTGACACTGCGAAAAAGTATTACATAATAAATATGAATCATGAGCTTCGAATGGTTTGTATATTCTAGCTCAATTACCTGTTTGTAGGATATTTTTTTGCATATATAATTATTTTTATGCGCAAGTGCTAGTAACGTAGGCTCGGGTTAGAAAAAAAAAAAGGATTGTTGCAGAACACTTTCTGCGTTCCTGGAACTAATGTACATTTTAAGCATGTTTCAGTTGGAATTGCAGGCAACAAGTGATTTATTTGATTGAAGTAATACGTTAGCACCTGTTTATATCGCTGTTTAACCGCTAGCACCTCTTTATATCGTTTATATGACTAATTAACATATTGCTTCAAATATGTGCGTGAGCATGATATGCAAACGGGTTCCACAATGCTTGGGAAAACAGCTTTAACTGCTCACTTTAATGAATATTATGGATGACGTTACAGGCTCTGCATAATGCCCTGAAGCGGAATCCTACGAGCCGAGTGAAGCTGCCTGGATTTGAAAGCTACAGTGCAGAGCAGCTGTTTTTTATTTCATTTGGAAGTGTAAGCCGAAATATTTAACTTTGACTACACAACTACAGGGTGTTTCAGCTATTTTGCGAAGGCTTTAAAAATATGATGCACTCTGGCGTGTCAAACCAACGCAGTATTGTTCCTAGTTATATACATCAAGACCATATATTGTTTCCATTATGCTTCAAATCGGCTAATTAACGCACATTAATTAGCACAATGGTTAAATTATAATATGTGCGAAACCTTTTTAAGGAGTTCCCAGGGCGCCATGAGAAACATCCCATCGTATAATGAGAACGATAATAATCTCTGGAGAAGGGGAACAAGTGGGACAAAGGACTAACACAAACATCCAAACAGAGCTATATGTGATTCGTGTGCGACTGAAAAACTCCGCCTGGTACGGGTATCGAACAAGGAACCTTTCCATTTCCGGTGGAGCGCTCTACAAACAGATCTGACCAGGAGTTAGACACCTGTAGAACGAACGGGTTTTATCAGCTGCCACCAGTCTAACGCCAACATGGGCGAACGGTCTGGCCTGCCTTTCAAGGTTATGAGGTTAATGCAATTAACGCAAAGGTGCGAGCGAGCTGTTCAAGAATGAAATTAACTAAGCTTAGATATGAACAAGGGGTAGCTTCGAAACAACCTCCTGCGAGTTCAGATGGGTTTTCGTTTAGGCATGGCAGACCTGAAATGCTTAGAGAAACTATACTATATTCGATTAAAAAATATTCGGGCAAAACCACTCTTCGCTTCAAATTCACTTAAAACTCGGAGTACACTATCTCCACATGTCTATAGGAAATTGTATCACAACGCCAGTTTTCTGGGCATATTATTTAGTGTACATTGTCATTACCAGAGTTACTATTCGTAGTTCCCTGATTCATATCTGCGTAACTAAAAAACAAAAACTCCTTTGCGTTCTCGTGAGTCTCGCGCTTAGCGATCTGACCTGATCTACTCTTTTCATTAGTATTCTGTCCTGTGTGAATATGCCAAAGTTTCAATGCAATTTGATTTATGCTGTTGAGATCTCGGGGTCACAATTATTTTGTAATCTAATGAATGTGAAAATGTTTCATTTACAAACAAAGTATATGTACTACATTTCCTTTCGAATTCATTGTCTAGTTTAAATTTCTGCAGTTAAAAAATTGTTTATTCAGTTTTTTTTGTTTATCTTACATTGCTAAATCTAATATTGAGACTGCAACAGGTCCCCAATCCGGGACCCTTGCCAAAACGTTTGGAGACCCTACTAATTTCATAACGCGTCTGTGCCCAATGCTTGAAAATTATGAACTTTGAAACTTCGAAACTTGTTTTGAGCTCCTATTAAAAGTTCCAACATTCTAAAATTGAGATCCAGGGACGAATATGTAAACTAAATGTACCCCTATAGTGTATAATATTTTCTGGTCAATCTGTATTATCTCTAAAAACACACGTTATTCCAACTCCTTTTCTCACAGATGTTCTGCAACAAAATGACTACGGAAGCAAGGGTACACTTTATTAGTAGAGACCCCCACACGGTACCGAGACACAGGTTAGCAAATTTTTACTAGCTAAAAGCTAGTTCCTCTTCAAACGAACGATTGCTAAAAGATTTCATTGTTACACTCTCAGCAGGGTAACCTTTAGTAGAGGGTACGTTTTTGCAAATTGGTACCTTTTAATATAGGAGTTACAATGTAACTGCAAACACTGTACCCTCTACGCAATGGTCACGGGGAAGCCCCTGCATAAAGGTTACAGATAGCGTCTGACATACACGTGTTTATTTTTTATTTTTATTTTTTAAGGTTTAAAAATGTGGGCGACCGCTGCGTCGGAGCTTTTTTGAATTCTTTACTGTTTTTAGAAAAGGCGGTAATCGCTTCGTGGATAACGTCTTCACCGTATTTTCGTGTGGTCGGTGGAAATTATATGAGATGATAAACGTCACATCATGCTCACTACTTAACCGAAATTTGATAACTAACCTTTTAATTATTGGCTTAATTCGTCATGTTGCTATTGCAGTCATAACGTGAGTAATGGTTGCTGTCGCATCCTATTGAGGCATTTAGTGAAAATACAACGATCTTTCAGATATTTGCGGTTAAAATATTGCCTTCGCTCGGTTCAAGACCGCAAGCTGATTATAATCCGCAGTAAAGTGACGTAATTACTCCTGTCCCTCCGTCACTGTCATTTAAGCTTGACGCCCGCGCGTCCACCAAAGACACGCCGTCGAGATAGTTACGAGGAGGCTCGATAAAACTGCGTGACAAGTCTACGGACCATAGTCAGGTGCGTCTTCCTGCGAGCGGCTTTGAATCAAGCAGGGACGGCAAACTTTTAAACGACACATATCTCAAAGGTTGTAATTTCTTTTTTTGTGAACTGTCTAAATTGGGTCAGGTTTTAATATTTGGTCCCGTAAAGACTGCAATTGCGACCTAGCCAATTGAGCCATTAATTCAAAAGTTAATCAACGTACTTTGATTATTTAGTCAACTAAATGGGACGTTTATCCCCTCATCTAATGTCCGCCGAGCCCCATAAAAATGCGACAAATACCGCATGCACTTAAAAATACCCCCTTTCTTAAAAAAACACCAAAAAAAAAATAAAATTACGCTCTGTTATATAGTATCTACTTATGTACACTTTTCAACAAGTTATTTTCACCAATTTGAGACCCTACTTGAATATAGGTTTTAGCAACAAAATTAAACACGAAGCACGCCCGTCGCCCTATAATCGGCCCTCATTTAAAGTTGACTCTGACCCTTGTCATTTTTACGCTTACATAGGCTCGCTGATTGCTGAATATGAACATCCCACATAAAAGTATGAGCTTGGGTAGCATAAATAATGCAACAAATGTTGAAAACTACTCTCTTTATTGTCAAAGCCTTAAAATAATTACAAAAAAATGAAACGCCCCGTTCACAATGATGTTCCCAAAATGAATGATCTTTTAATGCATGATAATGCTCGACATAGGTCACAGAAGTCTTCATTGCCCCAGCTTAACCAGCAATGCTTTCAGTTTACCGTTTATAACCGTCGGGGTGCAGTGCCCTTGTGCAAAAGCAGTTTTTAGAGCAGTATCAACAGCTGCGCAAGTGCGATCACGAGGGCTTTCTACAGTGTGCACGGATCACTCGGTGGAACGTTGTCCTTGTTTTGTGCCGTAAATCACAATCTTCACAGCTGTTTCGTATATGTGATGGAAAGACAAAGGCGGTTTGTCAGGCACCTCTGCCTTCGGTATGAACAGGCAAAAAAGAAATTAACTCACCGAGCTTGTGGATTTTTTTCAAATCATTGGTATGCTGATCGTTTATCAATATTGGTCTGACAATATGTGGATTTTGTCTCTCGTTAAAAGTACTACAAGGGGACATTGTCTGCCTGCATGTAATAAATGTTCCAGTCTTCACTACTTTGCCAACCTAAAACATTATATTGTTACATACGTAAATTATATACATCAGAAGTATTCAACTTGTTATCGGAAATCTCGCACAAGACAACACACAAAATGAGTCTTGAAACCTTTCGTACATGGTTGATCAAGAGGTACTTCGCTCCAGCTGGCTTCAAGTGTCGCTCAATGTCAGAGAAGAAGCAGCGCTTTCCGTGCATTTCCGGAAACATGTTGACTGCATTGATCCCGACGTCCACGAGGGCCGACTCTTGCCTTTGGCATATCAACTCGGACTCAAAACCAAGCTGCATAAAAGAACATTCGGTATAGGAACGTGAACCGAAGCTGTGATGCAGATTCAATACTGCGTCGAGTATTAACATTTTTCTCACTAGCCAAACGTCAAGCATACCTCGTGAAGATTTGTCCTCTTAGAGTTGTCCAGATGAAACAGCATCGACGACTAGTTCCCATCCGAAACCATGCACAACAGCCGCGCGCGGCCACAACCGGAATCCCTCCAAAATTGAAGTGTCGGTGGCGATGGCAGTGAAGGGGTGAAGGCGCCAAAGTGTCTGGTCACGTGAGGTTACGTCTCTATAGTTTCGAAATTCGATGAACTAAAACGGTTGTGTTCACTCTCCCTCCTATTCTATCTGTTTCTTGCAGGTGTTGGCCCTTCCCTCCTCGTTTCCCTTTCTAATATAACTGTCAGACGGGCACGTTAAATAAATTTCAAGTAAAATGACATTACAAGTAGGCCAATCCGCGTGTTTAACATGCCACGCGGCGCGTGCACGCGCCACGCGCAGAACCAGGATCACCAGCTGATTCGCCGAGAGGTGAATGACACTCGATCAAAATGACACTTACTTTCCCGTCTGACAGGCGTATTAGTTATCTTTTTGGGAGGAAACAAAAAGAAACAGTCGTATCAATCGTGTAGATGTTACCCTTGCTTGCCCAACGTTACATCTTAGAGGTTACAACTCAAGAGTCGCAGCGTAACGGGTCCCTATCATTTCGTCGAAACTCGTCTCGTGGAATTACGTTTCATGGACAACTTTTCCTGGACACACGTTTCATGGACACACGTTTCGTCGACACTGGGACGTTTCGTCGAAAATCGTTTCGTGGACAGCACCACTCTAAAACGCTTCGTCGAGAAACTTTTTCTTTTCTTTATTTTTTTCTCTCATCCCCGGCGCCGAAAAGAATGCCGCAAGCTCAAGGTACATCCGGTTATAGCAGACTATAAAAAAGACGACCTTGGAAAGGAACTGCTCTCCAAAGTGACATAGCGCAGTTGGTCTACAAGGAGAGCAACTGCGCTACCCTCTTGCTCTCATCCGTGCCACATGGAATAAGCAAGAACGCACAGGACTTTGCGCGCGGCCTATTGGGATATTTGCAAGTTGTGAAGCCCGTTTATCGAACCGAAAGTTACTGGAAGAAGAAAAGTGGTGGAGGAAAATATGCGTAGGCGCAAAAGCAAAACTTCGATCTAATGGCGAGTTTCAGAAAAGGGAGTAGACACCGATATATATATATATATATATATATATATATATTTCAGATTGGTTATTTTGAAACAAAAATACAGCTTGGAGTTTTTTCTTGATACATTACAACCCTAATATTTAAATTTAAATTAAACATTATATTAGCCTCAATCACTCAAAAGGAACATTGCTGCAGTGTTTTACAGGCTACTGCGACTTATACGCGAAAAAACTGTTTGTTCGCACTCGATTCATCGTCATTTATCTTTAAGGGCCGTTTAAATAAGGCATTACACAAGAAGGAGGCTGTAAACAATGTGAAATAAAAGTAAACAACAAAAGCACGAAAAACAATGACACTCGCACTCCCGCAAGCACGGTGCCCGCGAGTAAACCAAGAAAACACTACTTTGCAGTGCAAAGAAACAAACACGACAGTTGGTAATATAGATAAATAAAACATTACCCCACGTTCAGTGTTAGAACACAACGTAAACCATAACTGATAACAACAGCCGCCACATCCAAGGCCTTGGAGGCGGGAGTACCACTAGAGGAGATCTGTCGCCAGCAGCCGACTGGTTTTCAGACGCGACATTCAATGTTTTTTTGTTTTTTATTGATGCCAGCGGAGAGATACCTGGGGCTAGTTCGTAACCCAGCTCTTTGCATAAAAGAGCGGCTAAATCTAATGTTCTTTGGTCACGTACGGGTTGGTTTATGTACATGCAAAATTTCAGTAGAGACATAACATATGCAGAACTAGTGTGTTATTGAATATCCAGAAGCTAAATATGCTAAAGTCAAAAAATCGTATGCGGTCTGGTAGTACGGTACGTTGAATACCCGGTGTTTGGATAAAAGAAGAACCATGTGTTACAACCGTAAAAGTAAACTACGCTTAAACGAATACTCAGTCTCCTCCAAAGTTTAGTGCTAGCGGCTAAGACTAGATGCCAGTTAGCTTAAAAACCGATTTATGCCATTTTCAACGATAGAATGGCTGTTTGCACCGCGAACATGCCTCGTTTTTTCTTTCAAACTTTTTTTTTTTTGAAGAGCTTCAGAGTTTTGACGTGTGAACTATCTATATTTTGACGTGGGGACTGTTCAGGTGGCTCTTGAGGATTCTACCAAACGACGCGACGCGCGGAAAGATACACTTTCTCTGGAAACAACCCTGCCACTTCGTCAAAACAGTCGCAGTGCGGGCGGTCAGCCCGCGAAGGGTTGCATTCGGTGACGCACAGGCGCGCCGATCAGGTATGCTGGGGAAAGCGTAGCCCTCATGAGCAGCGCAGATTGTTGAATGTTTTAAGAACCTAATTTGATGAAGGACAGTGGTCGAGAACAAAACTTTCCGGCTTTGGCAACGCTTCCCCAAAGGTTCGGGCGAAGACGCGAGCGAAACCATACAAATCGCAAGTCCCGACATCGGTGCAAACGGTAAAAAAAAAAAAAAAAAAATAGTTTAAGTTGGTGAGCCAAGATGGTTACGCACTTCTTGGCCCAGTCGGCCATCTTTCATCCATCCATGCATCCAGCGGAAGGCCCCGCGCCGCGCAGGCGCAGGGGCCACGCGGAGGTGCAGCTGGCGGACCTGCATAACGAGCTGTCTACGAAACGTCGCAACGCCTGTCGATGAAACGAGCGGGCGCTCGTTTCCACGAAACGATCTGTCGATAAAACATCGCACTGTCGACGAAACGATTCGTCCGTGAAACGTCGTTCGACGAACTGATTGCCACCGCAGCGTAACCACTAAATCTGATTCTAGACACCCCCCCCCCCTCCCCCCCAAAAAAAAATAAAAAAAATAAAAAAAAATAATCCCGGTTTTAACCTTTAAGGCAACGGAAAATGTGTGAAACCTTTAAGAACGACTTTGTAACTTCTAAAATAGAAGTTTCATTCGTCTATAGGTAGCCATAGAGGGTACGCCGTTAAGTGTGTAGTTAATACTTACCAGAAACTACAAGACTCAGAGTTATAACTAGGTTAAAAACTTGTATTCTTCTATGAAATCCGGATTTTCTTTTTGAAAAGCCGTAGGACGCATTGGTTTTACAATACTATTAAACACAAGAAAAAAAAAACGGGATTAGTTCACCAACCACCAACCGCGCCAGTCTATTACAGCGGATCTTTTAAGGGTAGGTTCCCGAGGATCGTGTCCGGTACAAAACACTTGTCGACAAAAACACCTCTGGACACCTACCGCCATATATAAGCGACGGCGGCAAGCACACAACCAGTTTGGCTGCCGCCGTTGCTCGTAGATGGCGGCACCCTTTCCAGCTATCGTAAAAGAAAGGATAGTTGGGCGGCGCGTTGGTGGGAATTTATCGTAGGAAACAGCGAGAAAAACAGACAAGGACGAAGAAGAAATACACATGACGATCGCAGAGCTCGCCACGTGTGTTTCTTGGTCCTCGTCTGTTTTGCGGGCTGTTTCCTACGCTCTTATCAGTTTCGGTTTGGACTCACGATGGGTCGGTCGCGTACCCCTTCGTGGAAAGCGCGGCAGGAGCGGTGACGTACGCAGCAGCGCGAATCGGTCCGCAACCGACATTAAGTATTAAAACAAAATGAGAATATTTCGTTCAGCATGAAATTTTAAATAAGGACAAAACTTGTTTCTGGTGAAAAAACAAGATCCTTTTATTACTTAGGATTGCTCAATAGCCGGGGCCCTGGAGTTGCTGACCATTTAAAAATATTTTGTAAGAAGGAACCACTAACATTTGTATATTATCACAATTCTTCAAATCAAAATATCAACGTACTCTACCAATTTAAGCTAACAGCGCTGATGGTTGGTGATAATATTTTGTACCTTCCTGTGACATAGTTGACTAGACTAATAGTAGTAAACTATTTTCAACGCGTGTCCTGGTGTATACGCTTACTAAAACTAATTCGCGCAAAACATGGTTCTTTTATTTACAGGGTAAATGTGGCTTTGATGAACTCTGTCGAATTTTCAAGAGCTTTCAGCTGCAGCAACGATCGAAAGATGAACCCGAGACAAAAATGCGTGCTCTGGTAATAAACATGTTCATTGAGAATTGAAAAATAAAGACAGGAAAGAACACAGCGGAGTGTTCAGCGTTTCATTTATAGATAACTATATTACCAATGATTATTCAGCATGTTCTAGAATTCTGAAAATAGTCGGTATTTGTTAAACGTTAAAAATATTATAAACATATTTCGACGTACTAGCATTTGTTTAGTTATTCTGATAGTGGACCTCTACCTAGGAGCGTACCTACCCCATTAGTGCAAAGTGGGCTGTCCTCGGGAGACCCACAGGAGCCCTACTTGGGCAGCCCACACTGGACGCGGCTTGGGGCCCAAAGAAGATGTCGGCAGCTAACAACTCTGCTGAAAAAAAAAACATTTGAAATTCAAACGGGTGGGAAACTGATCGACCAGTTTGAAGCGAATGGGTGGCAAACCTGTCGATCTGCTTGGATCAAATACGATTATGGGATACGGGTACCCGGTGGAAACGATATCCGTTTGAAAAGGGTGCCCGTTCGACCAGGCACGTGACCACACATTTGAACGCCACATTCGGATAGGCAAATTATTTGCTAGCCCTAAATGGGTACCGTCTGGAAGGTGGGCTATCTTCAACTCATAGACCTATTTCTAACATGGAGGAAACACGTGGAAAAAATCGTGCTCGCGCAGGTGCTTGCAAATGGGCAGGAAAACAGACACAAAAGATGGTGTTCAATTCACCTAGAAGTTTATTACACCGTATTCCGTACACAAGTACAAACGTGCAAGCGATCTGTCAAATGTGAAGAGGCACTCGAAGCTTTTATACAGCCGAGGTAATTTCAGACTGTAATGACAGACTTTGGGGGAACTTATTCTCCCGGTTGCCACGAGATTAAACGCTGCATAATTCTATAGATAATCTGGAAGAGTACGCGTAGAACGGTCAATCGTTGCCAACGAGTAGGTTTCAGTGCACTTACCATAATAATAGCGGACTTGAAAGATGTAATCCAAAATATATGTCGACATAATCAAAGCAGCACAACCACACAAACACAAAGACAAGAAGCTTGAAGTTTCAACACGATGCGGCGCACAAGTTGTAATATGCCGAACCCAACCAAACAGCACGAATTCCTGACTTCTTTGCAGAATCGCTTGTGGGCGATATAAGTGTAGGACATTTCGAACAGTGATAGCTTTGGTGCACATCCAATACATTGTCGAGAAACATCGTAATAAGACCGCAGGGAAAGGCGGCAGATCGAAGCAGGCAGGACGATCGAATTTCGAACTGCACAGGACTACAATCAGATAAAAAACAAAGCGGCTGCCAACGCGCCCTTGGCCGGATCTGGGAAGCTTTGCTTAGCAGTGTATAGGCTCCTTGCACTGACGTCACATCGCATGCTTTTGACCGCCATGTAAAAGGAGGAGAGGGAAGCTGCTTTTGTAAGAATTTTGAGTGACAGGTTAATCTATAATTTTCTGCGAGGAGAACAGCGACGTCTCTGCTTATCCGGGAGACACAAAGGAGGATCCTGATATGAGGAGAGCTCCTCTTCCCCTTTTCTCTGGAGGGCATCGGAAATGACGTCATGTGCAAGCCACGTATAGCGTGCCCTCCTCTCCCGGGTCACGTGAGAGAGCTGACCAGAGAGGAGGGAGGGGGCGAGGTCAAGCCGCAGGACCACCGGGACAGCTCCACCCTTCTACAAAAAAAAAAAAAAATCTCGGGGTTAATTATTTTTTTTTAGTTGCACTCAATGTTAGGGGAGAGGGTGCATCAACCGCAGTGCACGCGCTTTTCTCCTCTCTCGGGATTGCCACAGAGCTGACTGCGCCGCGCTTGCAGCATCTGAAAGCAGGCCAATTTTTTCAGCACGCTTGAACGCTGGAAAGGGCGCGCGCCGGCCAGAAGCTGGGCTTGCGCCCGAGCGAAAAAAGCACCCAGCGCGAGCTCGTAATTTGAGTGCTGCAACAGCGGGCCTGCTGTCACAATGCTCGATGTTCGTGCAGCCACGTCTTCGCGCGCTACCTTCGCTGCGTCAAGTATCCACGCGGTCGCGTAATTTGCGAGAGGGATTCGGGCTGAATAAGTAAATTGATGCAACAAAGTACGCCAAAGTTTTAAAGTTCTGTCAAAAATATCGGCTCGGCAACGTCGCATGTTTATGTAAAAAAATGTTTATTGTTGTTGAAGTATGAGCGAACATCAGCGCAATCAAAATATAAATATAATTACTTCCGTTACGCGACGATTGTAAATCTATGAACCGACGCTCCCGACTTTCCCGAAGCAGGCTGCCACTGCTGAAACTGGCGTGCTCATATGCCCCCGATCTGTACGTTCAGTATTAAACGGGCTCCGGAGAGCCGTTTGATTAAACCGGTACAGCTTGCCGGTCACCGGTCACCCGTCTGTGCAACATGGTCACCGGTTTGATCAAGCATCCGACAACTTTGCCCAAACGAGTGATCCATTTGCCCAGACAACTGTCCCGTCTGCCAAAGAATTGACCTGTTTGCCCAAATAGGTAACCGTTATGGCTCATTCGGGGGACCACTTTGAGCCGTAAGTGCGACCGACCCCTTTGACAAACTGGTGGCCGGTATGGTTAAGCTGTTAAAGGGACACTGACACCCCCCCCCCCCCCCCCCCCCAAAAAAAAAATGTATTCCTTGCCAGGCGCTTCATTATGGTGTCGGAGGACTACCCATTTAATATTTTGCAACAGAGTAGCGTATTTTTTTTAATAAAGCCAAAAGACGCAACTCCTCAAAACCGAAACCGAAACCCGACGGAGGTCGGAGAAGTGGAGAGAAGAGAGTGAGTGGCGGAAGTCACGTGGCTACACCCGACCGTGCGTTTTTTTTGTTTTTTTTTTCTCCTCTCCGGTAGCAGACGACAGGACATGCGGCGTGCGATGGGGCGTGCGGGAACTGCTCGCCGCGCGATTTTTTTCCAGTTATGTTTGTTCCGCTCGTTGTTCTGTACTCCAAGATGAGTTGTTTTGTACATTGAGGAGTTGGACATGAGTAGTGAGTGCCCGTGGTGAATTTCCATGATCGGCTCCGAAAAGAATACACCCAAGATGTTGCGTGAAGAGCTGGCTCACATTTCCTGAATCCGAAAGAAAGTGGCATTGTGCGACAGAGTTTCCGAAAGATCAACGGGATCGGGACCAACGGCTGGCTGCAATTCCTGTAGAACATATACGGGCACCTCGGAAAGCGGACGTTACCTGATTTATATGCTCCTTGCATTTTGTGGAAAGTGATTACATTGAGCTCGCAGGTGTCAAAACGGAAATCCTATACCATTTAAATCAGCGAAGTATCGTCCACAACATTAGTTTGTTATTTTTTTTGTTTGTTTCTTCAGTGATGATTGTAAAAAATATATATATATATATGTAAACATCAAAAAATGTTTGAAGAAAAAAAAAATTAAGTTCCACGGGGGATCGAACCCGGTCCTACCGCGTGAAACCGGACGTCTTTCCCACTGAGCTACTGGCGCATCGTTTTTCTGGAAGTCTCTTTCCTTAGTAACAATTCAGCCGGTAAACTGTAAGTTGGAAAGTTTGCTGTCGATTTTTCTCTAGCAAAAGCACTCCTGGGTCGAAGTCGGGAAGCCCCACGCTTTGGGGACATTCGCACCTAGTCAAGAAATCGTACGCGTGCATATTGAACTCGAAGTAGACACGTCGTGCTTGACGTTTGCGCGAGTGATGTCTTCAGCCACGAGAAGGGATCGACGGCTCGGCGACGTCTTCGTGCAAATCGGCTTGGTGGCCGGGCGTGTCGTACGGGATGAATACCAATTCTTTTGATCAGTCCCAAATTTCTCTTTTAACGGTAGACAGAATTCGCCGGTACCGCGAACGACAGTTCTGAAATAGAGGTCCCACGCCCGTCGTCCGCTGCCATCGCCGTCCCCGCGAGTCCCACGATACGCGAAACGACGAACGCACCGAATGCTTCCGGTTGTCTGTGGAACTTTTTTTTTCAATCAACGTATTTACAGCTTTTTAGAAGCCACAAAAAATGGGTTTCATAATTTTTTTCTATTTTTAATAATGAGTGTGTGCCTTCAGAGACCCACGACTTTGATTAAATTTGGTGGTCGCATCGATACCTTAGAAAACGGCCCGTGACCGCGAAAAAGAGAGTGAGCGAGACTCGAACCGGCCAGTTCTTGATCGGCGGTTTTCGGGCGGAAAGAAACCGAATTTCGAGCCGCAAATTCTGTTCTGGGTAGTTGAGCTCTCATATGTCACGTAAAACTAAAAACCTCAGCGAGCATAAATACCCTGTCAGTGTCCCTTTAAGGGTATGATCCCGTTTACTTTCATATAGCCGCCAAATGGTATTTTCACTACGGAAGGGTTTTCTTTATAGGGCCCATAGTGTTTTTTTTATGCACAGCCCATATAAGGTACCCCCGTGAACCTCGTTCCGTTCTGGGTCATTTCATAATTTCCCTCCGATGTGGGGTATTGCAGCTTAAATTAGGCTGGTCTTACTTTCCCCGTCTGCTTATAAAAAAAATTGTCGGTGTTTTGATGTTTATATAAGTCTGCATTCTTTGAGAATTTGGTAAAACGTCTTAAAATAGAACATAAATAATTGGGCAGTCCCAGGCTACGAAGTGGAATAAAAACAGTGCACATTTCCGTAGAATTCTTATTTAATATTAATTGCGATGCATTGAAATTTCGAGCCGGCTACAGACACCGAGTTTTAAAACAGATGATGACATTCCAAAAAGCTTGTTTGCTATTCACCAACAAGGTTCATAGTAAGAGTAGACAATTTCATCCCCTTAAAATGGCCACCAATACTTTCACAAAGAATAGTAAGTTATTAATGATTAAGGATGCCGCAAACCTGCTGAAGTTCTAGGTATAAAAAGTTCGAAAATGTCAAACCTTTTTAAAGTCAGATTCGAAAAGTACGCACGTTTCGAAAGGCGCTGATGTTCGAAATCAGAAAAATGGAAGTTGTAGAAGTTTCTGTACAATAAATTTCGAGGATTTTAAATTTCTTGAGAAACCAAC